TCGGATTGTGGATAATTTACAGGGTCAGTGTCAGATTGGTACGACATGTCATAAAAAAAATTGACAGCTCTATCCTTAGAGCAATTTTGGTTTTGCTCGAATATATAATAGATGGCGCTTTCCTGAAAGCTGTTGAATCAATTTTTTTATAAATATAAAAGTAAAAATTTATAAATATATTTATAAAACAAAATATTCAACAGCTTTCAGGATACAACGCCAAAGGTATAGTTTATACATATTTATGTATGCAATAAAGTGAAACAACAGTAGAAAAAAAATAACTTTCTGGGTACTAAAACCGACTGTAACCAAGAACCCAACTCTAACAGCGCCATCTATGAATACTAATGTTTTAATGGCCTGTTTGAAAAATTATGGTAATTTAAGATCGATTTATTTTACTTGTCTTTGCTTAATTTAAGATTTATTTGAACAAGCCTTTCTTTATCCTCGATTATGATTAGATAGGGACGCGTTATTTAACGTCAAAAAAATGTGTAATCTACTAGAGTACGGATAATTTTACTCAGCCTTAAAAGGCATTGTTTCTTTACCTAGTAGGTTAGGGATTTTTTGCACATTTTTTGGGTCCTTTTTTATTAGCCCTCAAAAGAAATCTCACGATCAAATGGATAGTATACATAATATTGTAAGGATCTTAAGCAATAAATAATTGTTATCAATATTATAGCTAAACTAAATTGTTTTCTCATAGAGTACTACAACAAGGATGTTCGACATCAACATGACTGACAAATGGCCGGACAGGAGTATCATACCACTTGCCTTAGATCCAAGATAGCACTAGACAACTTGACCCCATTACGTCTGTATCGTGCGTAATTTCATTCAGAATTTTCTTGTCTCAGTGAATTATACTTAAATGTAATAAGATTTTATTAATGCGACCTTTGATACTTTATGTTTTTACGCTACGTTAAACTGAATTAATCCAGATATGCCTTTTGTCATCCTTACAAATGAATAACAATGGATGACCGACTTATATACTCACTTTGTATCTCCTAACCCCACAGTACGCAAGTGATCTTAGAAGTACGATAAAAGAAAAATTTACATACGCTAAGAAGTATCATAATATGTAAATAAATACTTTTTAGTTGTTTTTTTTGTATATAAATTATAGCGCCTTATAAAAAATGTATAGCAAATTTATGTAAAGCTTTTGCTATTATATATTGGAAGGAGTTTTTAAAATGTTAAATAAAGTGGTGTACAGTGTTCTCTTGCTTACAGTTTACATCAAATCATGCAAGTATCATTTTTATATAGAAAGTATAACATTTTATATCAAAAATCCTATTTCCTCTTGCTTACTTTCTTTGGAAGCCTAAGCTTTAACTACATTTGCAACTTTTTGCGATATATTCGGGAAATATTAATTATCTATTGATTTCAAGAACTATTTCACATATAAATATTTCTTTTGTACAAAACACGTAGATAATGTTAGACGATTATAAGGAATCTCTCCTTTCAACAAGCATCCTGACGATTAAATCCAGGACCAACTTCTGGTTTATGTCAATTGCGTGATATTATAATTATAAATTAAAAATTTACAAAAACCCGCTACGCAAATTATTTGTCATTTTACGATTATACTGGCACGCGTGAAGCACTTAATCGAGTAATCATACGTAAAAGTACCTTACATCATTTTGGAAAATAGCTGATACTCTCACACTGCTGGACCGATATTAACCAAATGTAGCTAAGAACCACCGCAAGGAATCTGGCTTTCAAATAAAAAAAACCGCATCGGTCCATCCGTTTGAGAGCTACGATGTCACAGACACACACACACACACAGACAGACAGACATCTACGTCAAACGTATAACACCCCTCTTTTTGCGTTGGGGGTTAAAAACTAAATTTTATTACGCTATTTAACATATATTTTTAATTTTTATTCGATGTTATCTTAAATCATAAATACCATTTGACTGCTCTATGATAAAATGTGATGGGATTTATAGTTGTAAATTTAATAGTTATTAAAATAAAATTGTTTACGCTATTGAAATATGAATCATCAAGAATATAAAATACTTGACGTAGGTATCGGAAATAAACAGGTGGTATGCGTAGGTCCATTTCCCAACATTAAAAAAAAGGTATCGTGTAATATACACAAAAAGGTCATATAAATAAATTGAGTACCTCCTTTTTTGAAGTTGATCAAAAATGTTTTTATAGAGATGTTGGTACATAATAGAATGTAAATATGGTAGATATTTCGACGTCTTTATGTCTGTATATCAAAGGACCGATAACAGGAGGAGATATTTAATACGGTTAAAAAATTCCAAAGATAAAAGAAAGGAGCTCCTCGGGGAGCCAGACGGGGACTGTTAAAAGATAAATTAGTTTCAATATATGTTAATAGATGGCGTTATATGTATCAATTTGGAATTTCGATTGTAAGATATTGTATAGGTACTTTAATATCATAATTTCACTAAAGATTAAATTGAAATTAGTTTTGTTTTGCATTGAGTTGTAATTTAGTGTTCATATTTAGAATAAAGTAAAATAGCTCTGTAACTGTTTGATCAACGCCATCTATTGTCCAATTATATCAAAATAAAGTGTGTGTGTGTGTACTTATGTACGCACGTAAGAAGTTATAATTCTTTGACGTAACAGAACAAAAATAGCTAAAGATTTCATCTTCTATGTCATAACTCTCTATTTGTAAAAGGAATGCATCTAACTTCATCATGTCGCTTTCATCTAACTTCATCATGTCGCTCTTTGTCTTGTTTCTGTCGGAGTGCGCGCGCATCGTAAAAATATTACTCTTATATTTTTTTGAAACGTGCCAAAAAAAGTATATAACTTCAAAAATAATCCAAAGCATAGGCCGAATAAAGGACGTCCAATTTATGTATCAACTGCGCTTGTACCAATATAACAATAACACAATATGGAGTATGATACAATATATTGTTAGTAAACAATAAAAAATAAGTACTTACCACTATTCATAAACTTTGAAGCCGAGTAATTAATGACAATTGAAAATAAGCAGCGCGTATAAATTGGACGTATTCTGGATAAAGCACGCGAAGTAATTAATTAATTAATGTTACACGCAGACGATACGTGTTTTGTGGGCGGCTTCGTCTTATATTGTTAAATGAGTATTTAATTATACTTATATCCTTATTCTATTTTAAAAATGGCACTTGTTTTTTAGTGTTTTATATAGAAATATTTATACAATGATGAAAGATGAAGTCGGGGCGCTCTCAAGGGTGTACCAAGTACAATGATGAACAAAACATGTTCTAAAGAGATGTTTAATGCCGAAGTTGAAGGAATGAGATATTAGCCATGTGAGTGATCTGTTGACTCATGGTTTACTTATTAATTTTTCCCTGCCTAGCCACTTTGTAATCAAAATATCGTAATATATGTCTGACAAATGGAAAAAAACTTGAGCACTTTCCGCTGTCGTCGCTAGGTCACCTTCCGCACTCAAAATTCTTTCTTTGCCTTATACAATCTATCTCATACAAAGCACAACCTGTTCAGTTAGTTTTAACATAAGTATAAATATAAATTCAGGGAACGGAAAATAAATGTATGTCGATCGTTTATAGCTGTAAAAGTATGGAAAAGCCAACATTATTATTATAAATAATACTCGATAATTTTTATTGAGAATTAAATTGCTGCAAAGCAAAGCAAGCAAAGCTGCGTATTCACGTAAAGTTAATAAATTAATGTACATATATAAGTACAATACATACATAATTATTAGTTATTCTTTATATTCTATGTATATAGGTATCTCACTTAATGTAGCGAGAATAAGATATATTAGGTATAGGTATATAATCTCCGGTAGGTATTAATTCTTTACTCCGTTGCTGCGTAAAAAAAATGACAAAAAAAAACAATTTTAGTAAAGATTGATCAGTTCACGAAACTGAATAAAACTGAGTTTGAGTTAATAAAATGTATGTTTGTGTAAGTACTTTATTAAGGAGACTGCTTCACTTCCTTATTATTTTAGTGAGGAAGTTTACTCAGTTCCAGAATTTCGCATTAAAATTGACAGCGTTATTGTTGTGGATGAGTCATTAAGACCCTTGTCATTATTAGTGATATAAATGCGAAAGCACGTCGCTTAGTTTTACTTATTAATTTTCATATGGCAAAATCATTTTCAGTAAATATGGCACAGAGGAAGTGAGAGCTTGGTTTTTATAAATATACCCAAAGACTAATTTTTACCGTGGCAATTACGAGTTTTCCGTATTTTTTATCCGAATAATTCTAATAACAATAAATATAAATAATTTACAAACGTTTTAAAAACATTTAAAATACACATATTTAAATAAAATCATTAAAATTATCTTAATTACTAATTTATCTACTGCATATGTACATATTAGCTATCATCAGCGACTCCAACGGGATCCAGAAAGTTTTTAAACGATCTGAAAGTCCTTTGAACGTCATCTATACTAATATTATAAAGAGGCAGAGTTTGTTTGTTTGTTTATTTGTTTGAACGCGCTAATCTCAAGAACCACTAATCTGTTTTGAAAAATAATTTTAGCATTAGATAGCCCGTTTATTGAGGAAGGCTATAAGCTATATATATTATCTGAGATAAATGTATGGCTTCCATGGGATAGGTTTGTTTTTGTCGAGGGACGAACCGGAAGCGAAGCGAGGCGAGTGAGTGAGTGAGTGAGTTAAAAATCAAATTAATTTACGAAAAAATATTTTTCGTGTAATAACCTTATTTAGGTGACAGGTAAACATACGCATATTACACACACTATACACTTTCCATTAGGAGCGTACTACAAACAAGAATCGTGTCAGTTCATTCACATCTGTGCTTATTCACAGAATAAGGATGTGCATTATACATTGTACTAAGTTAACTTTTGAGGCTGCGGATCAGTCGCTTTCTGTCGCGGAAACTGAACGTAGCTTAACAGATAAATAATGGCGGTTAAATATATATTGGAATTACTTATTTTCGCTGTTTTCGTTCATTTTGGTGAGTTAAATCATAAGTGTGGGAAAATATATATATATATAAATATATATATATATATATATATATATATATATATATATATATAGATTTTAGCTTGTTTAAAATTATTTAAATTTTTATAAATATTTACCTACATCGTTTTAAAGAATATTTTCTAAATAAAAAAATAACACGATTCCTTTATAACACGTAGCAAAGGAACTACGGATCGACATAATATTTTACATAGAAATAGGGTATAGGCCGGAGAATGGTATAGTCTAATTGTTATTTCGTTGAAAAATGCAGTTACCATGGTTACTTAATTTAAAAAATTACTTAACGTGGCGTGGACTGTAGTGACATTGAAATAAAAAAAATACGTTTTTATAAGATGTAAGAGTATGTATTTAAATTTAGTGCTTTTGGGTTATTTAATAGCTAGGAACCGATATTTTAGGCTATTCACATCAGAACTGTCCCAAAAATATTATATAGTTAGTGTGGCTTTTATTTTTTTTTTATTACAACTACTGACAAAAACCTTCACTTTAGGTACCTCCATCCGGTGCTACGAGTGCAACAGCGCAAACAACTCCATGTGTCTAAACCCCACGATCTACGACTTGCAAAGTGTGCAAAAATACCTGCGCTCGACGAATTGCGAGAAAAGCTCCTTCACTCCTCCAAACAGCCAGGGTTCAAAGGAAATGTTCTGCAGAAAGATTATACAGACAAGTAAGTTAATAAATATGAAAAGAGAGAAAGAAAGAGATGTGTATTCGAGTTTTGAACCTAGGTACCATCTCCATCGTATAGTTGCTATAACGTATGGTTCATATGGCTTTAAAAAAATTTCATAAATGTAAAAATAGTTTATCTTATTCCTTCATGCCTATCACACACTCGTCCCACAGCTGGACCTGAACCCGCGACCGCTGGCGCAGCAAGTAGGGTCAAAGTGAGTCATACGTGTCGTCAAGTTTTGAAAAGTTCTTTTTGTTTTTTATATTGCATGTGCACGGAAAAAAACTAATCTTCAATAGTTATGAAGAGAAGAAACAACACAAATGGCTGTTTTCTTTAAAATATATATATGTTATAAAATTGTCTCCTATACTCGTAGTGTAGTTATAATTAAAGTGTATAACTACTCAGATAAAGGTTATTTGTTTATTCAACAAAAATTTATTACTATGCGGACTTTCAGCCACTGCAGACTGCAGACATTCTATTAGCCGATAGTTTAGTTGAATTAGTACATCATTTATATTAAGATAAAAACTTTACAAGCTTTTTAAATATAACTATCTTTTCGGATTTTTTCGCAGATTTATTTTGATTTTTAGTTCCCGAGACATTTCGAATGCTTTACAGCAATCATGGTCACGGGAGAGACATATTTTTTATTCGGCCGATAAGAAATCGCAAGACTGTACACACCATGCATACGACTAAATTATCGGCATGTAGAAAGTCTGCAATGTGCAGTGGCCCTAATTAACAGACGACATTGTGATGCAGTGTAAACTGACAAGCACTGTTTTCTCAGAGATCGCTGGTTTGACTCCAGGACATAAGTGTGAATATAACTGAATAAACACCTATATTGAAATAAGGTTTTGAAAAACCTACTCTACTTATGTCTCTCTGTACATGTAATAGCTTTGAGAAGAAAATTATACATGATAATTTTGATAAATATTTGTTATGGTATTCATATTTAAAGATTGAACTATGTACGTATTAGAAAATGGCCTTTTTTCATGTTAATTTTATACAATACTAGCGATATTTCCTTGCTTTGCTCCGGTTCGTCCCTAAGCTTGAATGCACGCATAAAAGACAACCGTCTAAAGAAAAAAATTTTTTTGCGCGTATACAGAATAACCACCTAGATATTTATCCCAACGGATCAATGCTTTAGGAACGCATAGAGAATAAACATACGTACCTATATTTATTTTTATATATAGGGTGTTTTTTTTTAAGTTTTATAAGTAGCTTCAGCAAACCTATTTTAAAGGTATTTCAAAGGCGAAGGAACCAAAAAAATGCTTGAAATTTCAATAAAATTTCAATTTCGGAGCATATTTATTTGGAGTAAAATCTTCATTTTACACCTATCTAGTATCTATACTAATATATTTACGTATTCCAGTTCTACACAAGGGCCATGATCCCGAAGTCCGCGTGACCCGCGGTTGCGGCTGGGTGAAACACCGACGGGATTGCTACATGGCAGACAATGAAGACCATCTGGAAACCGTCTGTCAATGCTTCACCGACGACTGCAACTCCGCTACCATGATGAAATACAGCATCCTTAGTATAACTCTCTGTAGTTTACCTTCCATTTTTCTTAGATTTTATTAAGTACAGATAAAAAATAAATATTCTAACTCTATATTAATTAAATGTTATTTAGCATTAGTGTAATGTAATTGTACAGACTACAGTATGTGAACGCCAGTTAGAACCATTTTTATTTCATTTTATGACACCTGTGATATCTTCTTTTTAATTTTATAAAGGTAATAAGAATTTCCAGTTAATATAAAAGTGGTACTAAAACAATGATGCTATTTAAATAGTTTAACAATTTACTGGGTAAATTTAAATTGTCTGTTTCTGAAAAATAAAAACCAAATTAGTGGTAAAGAACTCTATATAATGTATCAAATGTAGAGATATATTGTACTTTTTAATATATACTATAAAATATCATGTAAATATAGAGTTTTATAAGAAATGATGTGATGAGACAGAGACACGTCCTTCCCATATATTTTTAGCTTTCTTGTTATTTTTTTTAACGTTGGGAAATGCATTTACGCACGAGGTGTGGGACTCACCGGCGAAGCCAGTACTACCCACTAAAACCCAACAAAACCTTCCCCCGTCTTAATGGGGCGTCGTAGGATCGCTTACGCATTCAACTAGGACGCCCCGACGGCAGGTCTGCCGAAGCAGACCACAACAACCAAGGGGTTGCTCCAAGGTCTACTCTGCTATCAGAGAAGTACCAGGAGCAACCCGCATGGTACACCGCCCTCCGTAGAGGGCCACCTTCCACCGCCTACCGAAGTGGGCCACCTCCCTGTGCGTTTCTTGGCTTCGCGCCCGGCTAAATTGCCGGACGCGAAGCCAAGAACCGCTGAGCGCCCCCACCACGATAAGGTGAACGCACGTTGGGGGGGGGATGGGGGGGAGGGGTTTCTTGTTATACCTTATCATAGACTAACTCTCAATTATTAAGTATATTAAAAAAATAAATATAAGGTAAATTCTTGTATTAACAAAATTACAAATAATTTAAATAACGCAGGTATATGCTTTAATTCTAATTTACTATTTCTAATAAATATTAAAAATACAAACATACAATCCAGCTCGCTTGTTTTTATTTTGACAATATCTTACAATGTGCATTAAGGACCTTTTGAGTTTTGAATTTTTAAAGTACCTAATTACATATTGTAATTTTAGTGCAGAACATGAACATAAAACAAAGATGGCAAATTGCTATTTACGCGATTTATAAAAACAAAATGGTGTTGTTAGTCAGTGAATATGACATCGTGCGTAAAAATATTAATTTCCTGAATGAATACATTTTTAGTAAAAAGTCACAATAACAATATCTGTCCAGACTTTAGGGTCTGATCAACCTAAGAGAGGATATATCGGCAAAATAGTTAATATGTAATTCAACAAGTTTTATCTCATTGTTATAATATATCGTATCTCCATTTTGATTACCGTATAATTAATTACCTCTGTCAAACTTTTAGATGAAACTTTAAATAGGCTACTATGAAAATAATATTGTGTACTGAATAAAGACACGGAAGCTTATTCACTTGACACCCGGTTTAGATTTATAGAGCGTCAAAATTTGTTTCATTTTATATGGTATTGTTTAAATTTTATTTTTAAACCTTTGAAAATCTTGTATTACAAAAAATTAAAAAAATAAGTGGAAAAAGTAATGGAAAGATTAATTATTATTATTAATAATTAAACTAAATGTCTTTTATGTTATACTGCCATCTATTGATAAATTTGGTAAACTTTCAGCTATTTTTTTCTAGCTAGTTGTAAAATATTATAAGAGATGGCAGCACATAAAAAAGCTATCGATTAAATAAAATTAACCCGTTTCGTTGTTTCTGTGACTAAATATCAAAAAATATGAAATAATAAGGCCAATTATTTTAAAAATAAATAAATTTTCTCAACATATTCACTTGCTCGTAATCAATATTACACATAATATACCTATTTTAAATGATTTAGTTAATAGTTTATTTTACATGAATATAGGTTTTCACGTGTATACATAAATGACAATTGATCATTTATAAGAAAAACATAAATTAATTTAGACTTGTTTTAATAATAGAGTTGAAAGGTGAAACAAAATTTGTCCACTTTAAACAAGTCAGGTTGGCCGAGTGGTCTAAGGCGCCAGATTTAAGCTCTGGTTCCCGAGAGGGAGCGTGGGTTCGAACCCCACACCTGACAAACTTTTGAGGGTTCATTTTTTTCACTTAATTAATTATAATCTTTTTAATATAATACTGCGGTAAAGTCTTTACTACATTTAAATAATTTTAATATAAGACAAAATACATAGTATAATTATTATATTACTAGTGGCTCACCCTCGCTTCGCTCGGGTTCGTCGCTAGGTACGTTTTAGATATAAATAGATATAAATAGTTATTAGCCAGCGTTAGCCATATACATTTTATTTCTTTTTCGTTAATTTTTCATTATTAAGTATTAGTATTAAAACCTTCCGTGGAGCGAAAAAAAATATTGCCGAATTGGTCCAGCCACTCTTGAGTTATGCGCATTACGCTTACTAACATTCATTTTTATTTATATAGATTAGTATATCACATAACTTCTATAAAAACGACACAGAACGAGAAACGCACAGGGAGGTGGCCCACTTCGGCGGGCGGTGGGAGGTGGCCCTCTTCGGAGGGCGGTGTACCATGCGGGTTGCTCCTGGTACTTCTCTGATAGCAGAGTGGACCTTGGAGCAACCCCGTGGTTGTTGTGGTCTGCTTCGGCAGACCTGCCGTCGGGGCGTCGTAGTTGAATGCGTAAGCGATCCTGCGACGCCCCATTAAGACGGAGGAAGGCTTTGTTGGGTTTTAATGGGTAGTACTGGCTTTGCCGGTGAGTCCCACACCTCGTGCGTAAATGCATTTCCCAACGAAAACAAAAAAAAGGTGGTATTATGTTTAATTATTTTAGTTTTTATTCGAGCAGTGATGTCATTTTTTTATATTTTTGTGTTTGCCTGTCCATTTTGTTAAGCGGACATGTAATAACAGTCTGAATTACTCGCGGATAGAACGGCAGACAGTAGCCCCTATACAATTTGTCTATGAACATGCTAGCAGGTCAACGACCTATAAATAGGGATGGGTCTGCACTGGGGGACACGGCTATCTAACCAATTTAAATTATACAGCATCTCTGGTACCAATCGATTTTAAACTATCGGTGGACGAAAGTTAAAGAATTTTTTTTAGGTTTGATATTTTCATTTTCACTTTACAGACTTACTTTGTTTTCATGTTCAAGAAATAAATCATTTTTTATCTCGTAAAGTTTATCTTAATACCACAGTACTTCTCTAAAAACGAGATTATTAATATGCGTTGTAAATATTTATTCTTTATTGACCGATTTTCAAAAGGGGGGTCTTAACTCAATTTGTAATGCACCTAACTACCTTATACCTACTAATACCTATTCTACAGGAAACAATCTAGCAGGATAAGTCTATTGCATTAACAAGTTTATAAATTACTTCCATAAAATCACATCGATGTTGTTACTCCATTGCTATATGAAAAAAAATAAGTTCAAACATTTTTTTTATGCATAATAATTAATAACTATTCATCATCAAAAATATAAACAAATCTATCCCACGGCAAGCGTACATTTTTCGAGTATAAAAAGTAGCCTACGTGATTTTTTGATATATGAGCTATATTATTGTAAATTTTAATTAAAATCCATTCAGTACTTTTTGCGTGAAACAGTAACAAACATCCATACATCTATACACACAAACTTTCGCATTTATAATATTAGTAGGATATTGGATTTTTGATTTATGTTATCAAGGTTTTGGATATATTGATGTCTTTGCTGACAAATAAATATATTTTCTACGAGAGAAAATACAACTGCGCAAATGTAGAGTGTTGGAAAATTACTAACAAAGTCTCTGGGAATCTCAAGAACAGTCTGGAAGACTTGCTATTGACGTTTTAACTCTTAACTTTTTATATTTAAAGTTCGAAATCCAATAACTTAAAAAATATTGCCTTATACTCACACAAATAAATCAATTGACTGAATGTGTGTATGAATGTCTCTAAATACATGTAACGCACACATAAATAGCGTTTACACACACTATTTACAATGTCATGTAAACACTTCCCTTGAATTAATTGAAGAATGGTGTCATTTGAACTCATAAGATAGGTATTTTGGTCCATTGACGTACAAACAAATTACAAGCTAAAAATGTAAAAGATTTTCGTCCCAAGAAATACCTAAAGACTGAGATATTGACGACATGTTTGGCTCAGTTTGTAGTGACCCGACTTGCTGTGCCAGCGGTCGCGGGTTCGAGTCCCGCTGGGGGCATTCATTTGTGTGATGAGCACGTATGTTTGTATTCTAGTCATGGGTGTGTATATTTATAATATGCATGTATAAAAAGTTATATATATGTATTGTATCAACTATCTGGTATCCATAACACAAACCTCGTAGCTTACCATAGAAGTAGATGGTGCTATGTGTTAATGTCCCAACATTTATTATTATTTAATATTTATTTATTTATTTATTCACACAATTCAATACTAGCTAAAACACGTAAATTCCGTTGTATTCAAATGAAATTAAAATATAATTTATTCAAATAGACATTTACAAGCACTTTCGAATCGTCACTTTTACATTTTCAAATTTAAATTAAATGTCACTATGTTAGTTCGTGAGGAAGCTACCACCGGCTCGGAAGACAGTTTCACTGAGAAGAGCCGGCGAGAAACTCAACAGTTGTTCTTTTAAAATAATAATTTGTATACAATATTGTAATACAATAATTATCCTAAAATCAAATATTCGGTCGAGAAGGCTTTTTAATTAACTAACGAATAGTTGTACACGTTCACATTCATCATATTACTTCTAAGAATCTTAACAGAAGTAAAATAATTACCATATATACGTTTTATATATGTACCATAATTTGAAGCCATGACTCTTCTATTCGCGGAACTCTATAGGTATTTCGTAATATTAAATGTTACATAACATTGTGA